TTTTGCATTTGAGAATAGTAACAGGAAATATACCAGGAGACTTAAGAGGGTCTTTCTTAGGAATATTTAGGGTAAGAATATTTGGGGGGGGCAGATGATATATTTTAGTGAAGTTGAACTATCATTGCTTTTTCACTCACCTCTCCATTTATCTATCCATTCAGCATGCACTTTGTTGGGTATTACTTCATTCCAGGTGCTTGCAATACAGAGATGACTATCCCAAGTTATTAAGGCTGCCCTCTAATAGAGAAGATAGATTCATAAAGAAATATGTGACAAGTACTTTTTGAAAAAGTTCTTTGGAAACACAGAGAAGTGATTATTGCCTGAGGGAGCGGGGATGGTGTCATAGAGCAGTATCTGTAAAGAACACAGTGTTTTGGAGGTATGCTAAATAGAATAGTGTAATTGGAGCATAGAGCAGTCAGAGGTGATAGGGCAGTTATGGGGAATGAGAATTAAGGGTTGAGACCATATTTTGATGGAGAAGGACGTAAGCTGCTCAAGAGTTGAAACATGTTTTGTCACCTTTATATTACAGCACAGCACTTGGTATATAATTGATTTTCAGTATGTGTCATGAACTGAAGGCTGTCTCTTACATGCTAAGGAATTTGGGTTATCCTCAAAGCTTTTGGTTCACAACCCCTGGGGTCGAGAATATCCTCTGTATGTTGGGTATAAGAGTATGCAAAGCTGCAAGGTAAACAAGGCACAGCTTTTATCAGTTTCACTTGACCATTCACAAGAAAAATACTTAGCAATTTAGCTGACAAGAAATTGTACATAGGATTTTAATTTCAAAATATAGATATACAATATATTGTATTATTCTTATTAATTTTTGACATCTTTATTGAGATATAATTTATATACCATGAAGTTCACCCATTTAAAGTGTACAATTCAGGCTGGGCTCGGTGGCTCAGCCTGTAATCCCGCACCTTTAGAGGCTGAGGTAAGTGGATTGCCTAAGCCCACGGCTTCGAGACCCACCTGGGCAACTTGGCGAGACCTCATCTCTACAATAAATCAAAAATCAACTGGGCGTGGTAGTGCGCGCCTGTAGTTCCAGATACTTGGAAGACTGAGGCAGAAAGATCGCCGGAGCCCATCAGGTTGAGGCTGCGGTGGCCGGGAGCAGCCACTGCACTCCAGTCTGGGCGACAGAGTGAGACTCCAACTCAAAAAAAGTAAATAAATAAAATAAAGTGTACAATTCAATATATTTCTATTAATTCTAAACATGAATATCATTTAAGCTAGGGAATAAAAGATAAGATTAGTGTTTTAAATAAATTGTGCCTTTGTGCCTTTGTGGAGATTGGATTTGAGGAGGAAGAGCCTGGTGGCAAGAAGACCAATTTGAAATCTTTTACTGTTGTTTCCACAAAAGATAATGAATAATTTAACTAGAGATGTGAAATTAGGGGTGGAGAAGGAGGAATGGATTTAAGAAATATTTAAGAGTTGGTAGATTGGACATAAAAAGTAAGGGAAATAGAAATGTAGAATAACTTCCCAATTACAGTCATGAGCAGGACAAAGCCTTTGCCCACATAGACCTTATAGTTTAATGCTGGTGGGATGGTAAGGCTGAAAACTGATGGTTAAAAAAAATACAAAAGTATAAGAAGTTCCATGGTAGTAAAAGTGCAGGATACAATGGAAGCACTTAGGAGAGAGAACTAACCTTATCTAGGGTTTTGGTATAGCTTCTCGAAAGAGTGACATTTAACTAAGTCTTGAAGAATTAGTCTGCATCAGCCAGGGAAAGGGATGCAAGAGAGAGAACTTTTCAAGAGAAGAAATACCTTGTGTGGTGGCCTTGGAAGCAAGATAAAGATAGAGTTTTGGGGGAACTGAAAAATGTTGGGTAAGCTGGAGCATTGAGTTTTAGGGGAGAAGTGATATGAAAGAATGCTAGAGAAGGATCAGGCATTTGTAACTGTTATATAAGTCCCTTTAGGGATTTTGGACTTGGTTCTAAGAGAAAGGGGTTTTAAGCAAGAAACTGATATTATCAGGTTTTCATTTTAGAAAGTGAGGTTAGGAGAATAGAGGGAAGCAAAACCAGAGTCAAGGATACCAGTTAGAAGAGTAGTGCAGTAATCCAAGCAAGTAATAATCACTGTCTGGACTAGGTTAGTGGCAAGGGGAATGGAAAGAAGAGGTTAGGTATGAGAGAGAGTTGATGGGGTGACTGTATGAGGGAAATAAGGAAAAAAGAAGCATCAAGAGTGATCCCTACCTATAAGTGAGCAGATATATAAATGGGGGTAAAAAAGAAGAGTTGGGTTTTAGACATATTAAATTTAAGTCTCTGTGGAAAATCCGAGTGGTGATGAAGTTGGTTATGTGGGTTTGGGCTAGATTTATGGTCATTGGAGCCTTGGGATTATGAGAGAGAGGACAATAGGAGAAAACAGTTTAGGATAGAATCTTGAGGAATATTAAAGTGATAGGCAGAGGAATAAGAACCTACAGAGAAGACTGTTGATAAAAGCCAGTAAATAAGGAAAGCTGACTACTATATGAAAGGAAATAATCCAAAGAGTTAAGATGAAAGGGGATGGGATTCAGAGCAGAGGTGGAAGGATTATCCTTACTAGGAAGGAAACATCTATTCTACTTAAACAAGAAGAAAATGTAAAGGAGAACTGGGGCCGAAGAAAAGTTAAAAGGTTTAAGAAGCAGAATGTGGGGGGCTTCTGTTTCTTTATGAATTGTGAGGTAATATCGTTTGTTGCAAGTGAGATAGGAGGTTGAGGGCTTAGAGGTTTGAGGGTACTGGAGAGTGTTTGAAATAGGCCCTGTGGAATAAGATAGAGAACTGAATATGGAAAACATTAGAATTATCTGGGGAACTGAGGGTCTATTTGAAGTTGATAGCTATAATTAATGTATTAGTGTCAATTTGCACAGTTGTGTGATTTTTTGGACAGCAACATTCAGCAACTCTGGGTGAATGTACAAAGGACAAGCAGTGAGGTTCATCTAGAATTGGGATTTAGGGTGCTGATAGAAAGTAGAGTGAGGTAAGAAGGAGCACTTTAGACTCAAAGAAAAAAATGAGTGGGAAAAAAATGGTCTTAAGCCCAGATAGATTTTCCCCAAAATCATGGTAAATGCTTAAGAATCATGTCATTTCCCTGTTTAAAATTCTTAGGTGGTTTCTCTGGAATCTGTTGGTTACTTTTCTTCCAGTTTCAGTTAAAATGTCATCTCCTCAGGTCTTTTTTACCCATACTATCTGAAGTGGTTACTCTGCTCTCCTCCACTCTGATGTACAACCCTGTGATTTCAAAATCACATTTTAGTTATTTTATAGCACTATCATAGGAAGAAATTATTTTCTTTGCCTATTTATTTATTGCATACCTCACTCTACTATAAGCTCCTTGAGGGTAGGACCTATCTACCTTACTTACTACTGCATCCTCAGTATCTAAGAAATAGTGCCTAGCACATAGTAGTAGTGCTCAATAAATATTTCCTAAATGATTAATTCATCCAAGAAAATAAATGAAATTTTGCCTGAGTTTATTTTTCTTAGTTGAATTAGGATCTTACTACCAAAGTAAATGACTAGATTTAAGTATATCCCCTTTTTTGTGGTTGTCTTGTGTCATATACAAATTATGGTTACATTTAGCAGCATGATAAATATCTAAACTTTCTCATTTTGCTTATTGTTTTTGAGGAGAAAAAGTAATCTTCTTGGACTACAATTTGTTTTATTTTATGTTAAAATTGTGGGGTACAAGTCAGAGTTGCATATATAAAGTGGTTTAGGTACAGGTGAAGTTTTGGGCCTCCCACTGGACCTTACTTCTCCTGATTAGGATCAGGCACCCTTAATGATGTTATGCGCCCCCTCCCCACCGGGGCAGTGTCCCACTATAGTCAATCCCTTTTTTGTAGTATTATGATAGGTGTTCAGGGTCCACTTACGAGTGAGAACATGTAGTACTCAGTTCTTCGTTTCTGTGATAGATCACTGAGTAAGATAGATTCTAAATCCACCCAAGTTGCTGCAAAGTTCATAATTTTGTCCTTCTTTATAGCTGTGTAATATTCCACTATGTGTATGTACCACATTTTTTTTATCCAATCCACTTTCAATGGACAGCATGGTTGATTCCATGTTTTGCTATTGTGAATAGTGCTGCAATAAACATGTATGTGCAGGTATTTTTGTTTTGTAGAATAATTTGAGCTCCTCTGGGTATATTCCCAGAAGGAGAATGGATCATATGGAAGGTCATTTCTAGTTCTTTTAGAAATTGCCATACTGTTTTCCATAGAGGTTGAGTTAGTTTGCACTCCCACCAACAGTGTAAAAGCATTCCCTTTCTCCGCATCCTTGACAGCATCTGTTGCTTTTTCTTTTATTAATGATGGCCATTCTTACTGGAGCTAAGTGGTATCTCAATGTGATTTTGATTTGCATTTCTCTGATGATTAGTGAGACTGAGCATTTTTCATGTGTCTGTTGGCTGCTTCTATGTCTTCTTTTGAAAAGTGTCTATTCATGTCCTTTGCCCATTTTTTTTAGTTTTAAATTTTTTTATTTTAAAGATGTGGGGTGCAGTTCAGAGTCAGGTATAAAAATGTTCATTATGCAGGTACCCTTGTTGATGTGTGCCTCCCCCCCCCCATTTTTTTCCTTTCAGCACATTTTCGTTCCTTGTAGATCCTGGATGTTAGGGCATTTTGTCAGATATATAGTTGGCAAATATTTTTTCCCATTCTTTGGACTGTCTCCTCTATTGATTTTTTGTTGTTGTTTTGTTTTTTTGCTTTGCAGAAGCTTTTCAATTTGATGAGATCCCCCTTGTCAATCTTATCTCTTACGTTATGGCCACCTGGGGTTTTGCTCAGGAATTGGTTGCCTATTCCAATTTCTGTAAGGGTGTCTCCTGTGTTTTCTAAGATTCTTTTTTTAAAAAAATAAAGCATTTGTTAGCATTTAATGAACCTCCCTCCTTGTGGCTTCAAGCCACCAAGACACAGACTCCCCTCACACACTTAATCTTCTCAGCTTTTCTACTGAAGAATTTGGACTTCACCATGACAGGCTTCTTTGGGAGCTTTTCCTTTCTCAGAATTTTGTAGTAGCCCAATCGAACCACGTCAATGATGGGAGCATTTCCAGTCTTGTTTTTAGCAGCATTCACCCGTATCTGCTCACTGACCAAAGTCCACAATTTATCAAGGTTGACAGTTGGGCAGAAGCTCTGGTTCCTCTTTAAGTGGCAATGCCTCATACCAACTTTCCCAAAGTAACCTGGGTGATATTTGTCGAAGTTGATCCTGTGGTGATGCATGCCACCAACATTACCATGGCCTCCCAGGTGCTTGCCGATGTGACCGTGGCCTTGGCTCACGTGGCCTCGAAGTTTCCGGGTCTTCCTCAGTCTGATGGTATGTCAGTGATTAAGACAAAAAGAGCCTAAGATTCTTATAATTTAGGTCTTTGATCCATTTGGAGTTGATTTTTGTGTATGGTGATAGGTAGGGGTCCTGTTTCATTCTTCAGCATGTAGTCAGCCAGTTTCCCCAGCACCATTTACTGAATAGGTTCTCCTCTCCCCAGCTGGTTGTTGGTGGAGGCTTTGTCGAAGATTAGCTCATTGAGAAATTGAGATTTTGCTTCCAGAATCTCTGTTCCATTGTTCTATATCCCTGTTCTTGTACCAGTACCAAGCAGTTTTGATTATTGTAGCCTTATAGTAAGATTTAAAGTCTGGGAGTGTGATACCTCTTGCTTTGTTTCTTTTGCTGAGACTTTTTTGGCTATTTATAGTCATTTTTTTGTTGCCTTATGAATTTCTGTGTTGTTGTTTCCAGGTCTGAGAAGAATGATGGTAATTTAATGAGTATTGTGTTGAATCTGTAGATTGCCTTGGGTAGGATGGACATCTTTTTTAACGGTAGGTACAGCTTTTATTGGTTGCAATAGGAAGTGGAAGAGAAGAAATGGCAGCTCCTGCTCCTGGGATTGTGTCTGCAGACTGGGTCGCCATCCTCCAAAGGGTGGATGAACATCTTAACAATGTTGATTCTTCCAGTCCATGAGTATGCAATGTTTTTCTATTTGTTTGTGTCTTCTTTGATTTCTTTGAGCATTGCTTTGTAGTTTTTGTTGTAAAGGTCTTTCATTTCTCTGGTTAGGAAGATGCCAAGATATTTCATTTTGTGTGTATGTGTGACTATTGTGAATGGGATTGTACTTTTTATGTGATTCTCTGTTTGTTGTTAGTGTATAAAAATGCAATTGTCTTTTGCATGTAGATTTTATACCCTTAGACTTCCCAAGTCCTTTATCAGTGCAAGGAGGTTTTAACAGATTTCCTTGGGTTTTCCAGGTATAGGTACAATTTATTTCTTAATGGTTGTTCTGGCAATGTCTGTGGGATTAGTTGTACTTTAAAGCCTTAAGTATAAATCTTCAAATGCGAGCATCATGGTAGGGATATGGATTTCAAGCTATTTACAAAAGAATGTGAAGAGAGAGGTTTAATGCTACAAATGCAAACAAAGAAGGATAGTAGCCTGAGTATTTGGATAGGTATCTTGTTTGTTTGTTTGTTTGTTTGTTTTTGCCAAGCAATATAAAATAGTGCAAGTTACAAATTGTTAACAGCTGAGAGCCTACGATAGAACCCTTCATACTATCACATTCACATAAAAATGTTTAATATAAATTAAGCTCTCAGTTCCATAATTTATGAAGGCAAATGAATTATTTTGTTATTGTACAGGGAGACTGTATAGCTGGATAAACTGATGAATGGAACCATCTCTTAGATCAACCATTTGTGGTGATCTAAGCTGGTATTGTTACCCAGACATTTTGACATGCTTGTTTTTCTACGTAGTATTGTCTCAAAGTCCATTGCACACATTGCCTATTTCTTGTAATTGATGGAGATACTTTCTCAACTGGTAATTGGACACTTACCCCTTTACCTTCTACCTGTACTCCTACCAAAACCACTATATGACCTATTCTTAGATACAGTCCTCAAAGAGTCTGGACCTGAATGATTCCCACTTGCTTTATTTTTATTTTTATTTTAAGGATGTGGGGTACAATTTAGGATTAGATATCGAATGGTCATTGTACAGGTAAAGTTTGGGCCTCACTTTGCCAGGTTTGAGATCAATTACCCTTATTGATGAAGTATGCCCCCCACCCCTGGCAGTTTCCCACTACTGCCAATCCCTTTCTTAGAGTATTATGATAATTGTTCAGAGTCTGCTTAGGAGTGAGAACATGTGGCTCTCAGTTCTTTGTTTCTTGGAGATTCCTAAAAGATCTAAAAATTGACCTTCCATATGACCCAGCAGTCCCCCTTCTGAGAATATACCTGGATGAACTCAAATCACTCTATGAAAAAGATACCTGCACATGCATGTTTATTGCAACATTATTGTAGTCCCATTTCCCTACATCCTCTCCAGCATATGTTGTTTTTTGAGTTATTGATGATGGCCATCCTGACTGGAGTTAGTTGATATGTCAGTGTGATTTTAATTTGCATTTCTTTGATGATTAGTGAGACTGAGCATTTTTTCATGTATCTGTTGGCTGCTCATATGTCTTCTTTTGAGAAGTGTCTATTCATATCTTTTGCCCACTTTATAATAGAGCTGTTTGTTTTTTTTCCTTTTGGCACATTTGAATTCCTTGTAGATCCTAGATATTAGGCCTTTGTTAGATATACAGTTGGCAAATACTTTTTCTTGTTCAGTGGGCTGTCTCCCCACTCTCTTGATGGTTTCTTTTGCTTTGCAGAAGCTTTTCAGTTTGATGAGGTCCCACTTGTCAATCTTATCTCTTATGGCATGGGCATTTGAGGCGTTGATCAGGAATTGACTTCCAGTTCCAATTTCCATAAGGGTGCCTCCTACATTTTCTAAGGTTCTAATAGTTTGAGGTTTTACATTTAGGTCTTTAATCCATTTAGAGCTGATTTTTATATATGATGATAGGTAGGGGTCTTGTTTTCCACCTGCTTTTTTCATACAAATTGATTTAGATTGACTTGAAATTCTCTTTTATAAAAACAACTAAATATTTTCTACCATCTTTGCTGACTCTAAACCAGGCCATGTAGTAGGTTACAGCAACCAGTCTCTGTACCAATATACCCACATACCCCAACCCTATTGGTTTAAACTAGTGTAGGAGATGATTGAGAGCGAGATCTTTGTTACTTTTATGAAGTAACTTTAACAGGGCAACCATGTCACCAGAGAGAGTTATAGAATTTGGTTCCTCTGTTCTGAATGATGTGATAATGACTCTATCTAGCAGATGAAGGAGTTTCTCAACTAGTTATTGGATATAAACACTCTTGCTACATTTTCTACTTCAGTCATTACCCTCCCTTCACCCAACACCCCATCCTGTTGTACCATGTTTCTTCTGATTGGGGTCTTAGTCATGAGGGTTAGTTATCAAGCTTATAAAAATCCAGTCATTTTTTTTCTGTCTTTTGAGCTTCCTTTAGCCCCTATGCAAATAAAATAGGCTGCCTTCTGTGTAGGCTCCTACTGTGGATCCCAATTACTACATAATAAAATTACTTGAATTTCCTCAGTAAGTCAAATGTTTTGATTATATATGTTACCTTTGGCTTATAGTAAACAGTCTATACTAAATATAGTTCCTCAAAATAAAATTATTTTGTGTTTTATAGTTGTTCTCCCCCTCCCATCCAAGGCAGGGTGGTGGGAGGAGGAGGGGGAACAGATACTTAGGACAGGTGTGAGGAGCAAATGTATCATAGTGTCCTGAATTTCTAACCTATCCTTTGGCTTTTTTTTTTTTTTTTTTTTGAGTTGGGGCTCACTTTGTCATCTAGTCTGGAGTGTAGTGGCATGATAATGACTCAATGCTGCCTCCACTCCTGAGCTCACATGATCCTCCTGTCGCTGCCTTCTGAGTAGCTGGGACTGTAGGCACACACTGCCATACCGAGGTAATTTTTAAATTTTTTTGTAGAGATGAGGTCTTGCTATGTTGCCAAGTCTCAAACTCCTGACCTCAAGCTGTCCTTCCACCTTGGTCTCCCAAAGTGCTGAGATTATAGGTGTGAGCTGTTGCACCTGGCCTGGAATTCTTTTTTTTTTTTTTAATTTTTAAAAAATTTTAACTATGTGGGGTACAATTCAGGGTTAGGTATAGAAATGGTCATTATGCAGGTACCCTTGTTGATGAGGTGTGTCCCCCCCCCCCCCCCCCCCCCCC